AAGCATGCTGGCTGGGGGATTCTGGGAGTGGAAGCCCACCCCTCTTAAAGCATGCTGGCTGGGGGATTCTGGGAGTGGAAGCCCACCCCTCTTAAAGTTACCAGGGTGAAGAAAGGCTGACCAATTCTGCAGCCTTACAGAACGTGATTGCTCTTCCTCCCTCCCTCCCTCAACAACCTTTTGTTCACAAGCGTAACAATTCAAGGCCTCCCTCCTGGGATCTTTGCGCGGGACACAAGGCTGCCCTCCTACACATATTTTGAACAGGCTGCTCATTCTCAGTCCAGATCGAAGATAAAAGTATAAAGCTTGGGGAAGGGAAACATAATATCCCATGCCACCGAGACAAATTTGCAAAGTCTTCTTGAAGCTCCGTTTCCCGCCCCCCCCTCAACCTCAACAATCAGGCACCTTCCCAAAAGTCCAGCAACCCCATTGGAGTCCAAAGCTTCTGTTGCTATCCAAGACATTTGTTAAGTGAGTCTTACGACCTCTCTCGCCGTGGTTGTTAAGCGAATCAATGCCCTTGTTAACTTAGTAGCACGGTCGTTAAGCGAATCGGGTCTCCCCCGTTGACTTTACTTGCCAGGAGGTTGCCAAAGGGGAATCGCGTCACTCCCCGGTCATAAATGCAAGCCCAACATCCAAATTTTGATCACACGGACATGGAAATGCTGCAATGGTCATAAGTGCGGGAAACAGTCCTGAGTCAGCAGCATAACTTTGAACTAAAGACACGGTTGTATCCAGAGGTGGTATATTCAGCCGGTTCGGGCTGGTTCGCCCGAAGCGGTTGGGAAAGTAAGTGAATTCCTCCCCCTGGATACACTCGTACCTGTACGAAAAGCAATTCACCTGAATTCTCCTCCATGTTGGCCAAGGACAGCTGCCCCTAAAGGCAGGTGAACAAGGCCGAAGAATTTGCACAGTGTGTTTGCACAAGCGGGCCCCACCCTCGCCGAGGAGGGCCGGGGCTGGAGCGTACTTCCTCCTGCTGTGGCTCGATTCGCAAAGCCCACTTTGGCGGCAAAGACAGGCAGGTGAGAAATGGCCACTGCCAGGTGGGAAGCCGGCAGAGGCACCGTTTCCCCCCCAATCCCAAAACCTGGAACCTGCTTTCCCTGATCTGGGAATCCGGACACACCCAGCGATGAACAAGCACGCCAGGTATGCTGTGACGCGAAGCCGAAAAAGGTGGTTTATTCAGGCAGGCAGAACAAGAGGCGGGTTCTCCCCCATCATCCACCCTGGGCTGGAATCACCTGGTTTAAAAGTCAAAGCTCAGAGGGCGGAAACGACAAAATCAGGACGAAGCACAGACAGCGCCCGAGCCCTCCCACTCAAGTGTGCGTTTGCAGAGATGCAAACCCTGGGATGGGATGAAAAGGACTTTGCTTTCTCACCTGGTGGTCCTCAAGACAGGATTTCAAACTGAGCTTAAGGCTCCAGAAAGAGGGCAGAGAAGAGCAACCAGGATGATGAGGGGACTGGAGGCTCAAACATACGAAGAACGGTTGCAGGAACTGGGCCTGGCTAGTCTAGGGAAGAGAAGGGCCAGGGGGAGACAGGAGAGCCTCTTCCAAGATTGGAGGGGCTGCCTCAAAGAAGGGGGAGGAGGGCAACCTAATTTCCAAAGTCCCTGGAGGCAGGACAAGGAAGAATGGATGGAAACTGACCAAGGAGAGATTTAACTTAGAAAT